GGAAAGAGGTTGGTTTTGTTTTAGCATATTTATGCCAGAGGCACAAATTTTGTTGGTACATTTTGTGGCACGTGGAGTTCTATAATAATCTAATAATCTGTAATAATGTTATGAACCTTGTAAGTGACATGGTTAGTGAGACAGTTCCTTTTAAAGATTCTAATATTATAAAAGCCTAAGTCTGTGTGTGTATCTGTGTCTGTAACTATTTATTCACACACTGAGTGACTGATGGAAATAGCCAATCAGAGTGCTCCAAGCATGGAGGAGTGCCACCATGATTCTGAAGCCGCGCCGAGGACCAGGCAGAGGGTGCTGGCCTTGGCTCCCCCACCCTGCTCCCTGCAAGAGGCAGAACAGTGGCAGCATGGGGCATGAGGTGGTGGCACTCCATCCCAGCCCCCTCCCCTGCCCTGCCATTCTTGACAGGTAATTGGCTAATACTGTATATTTATCTATCAATATGTTGATTCAAGTTAATCCAAAGTGGCTAGAAAAAACAGCAGGAAGGTAATACAGTTATATATAATCTGCCTTTTATAAACTCTTGGGGAGTGATCACATGAAAATGGATGAGCTAATAGTGGTGAAGATGCTACTTCCAGGGTCCAGTTATAGCTTGGGAACCTAGTGATCAAAAGGATGCTAAACAATTTTAGAAGAGTTCCCTGGAGAGGGAGAGAAGGAAGTTTCCTGGGAAGCCCCTACTGACATGGAGATAGATCCTTTGGGAGTGTTTCAAGTAAATGTGTACACTCCCAAGTAAACACTTTGCGAGTGTTTCAAGGGGTCCCTTCCAAAGCTCCTTGCAGGTGGTACCTTCAAAAATTCATCTGTGTAACTATTTTTCTTATGATGTGCATAGATTCCAGATTTGAGAGGGAGTAGATTGGTATACTCTCTTCCTTTAGCATAAAACTGTTGAAAAATAGTCAATTTGAAATAATTAAGACTGATGTAATTTTTATATTTTAACTTGGAAATATTTCACTCACTAGTATTGAATTTACAAAGGCAACTTTGAAAGTAAAATATTTGGAGACATGTAGTTTATCGTGTGCTTCCAATAGATGGCACACACAGCACTTTAAAAATGAAAGATGCATGATTTTGAAATCTGCAGTATCATTTTTCTCACTCTACCTGACAACTGGCAGAATCAATGCAAAATCACTTTCAGGCTCCAATCTAAATATGGCATTTGTGTTCCAGCTCAGATAAAAAATAGCTGAAATGTTGGCAACAT